TGGATTACATCATGCAGACTTCTCACTACTACTCCATCCAAGCTTCCAAATGAATCCAGTTATAATCCTATAGCCTTGCTCAGTCACACTCTGCCAGCCTCAGCAGACAACAACCTCTGTTTCTCTCTGAGGATGGCTTGCTTTAATCTCCTGGACCATACATCCGCACCACTCGCAACATCTGGGGAGCACTTGGAGATCACAACGGCTATGAACCGCCATGGAGAGAGAGGATTAGTCTTTCCCAGTTAGACATCTAACTTCCCAAACCATGGAGTGTTAATAGATGCCAGGCTTTACGTCTATCCTCTGGAGAATGACTACGCCAGTTTTTGTATGTCTCTGGTGTTCTCTACTCGATGAAAGTGCTCTGACTGTAACAGTGGTCCCTCTTTTCTGAGCTATTCATTGAGTTGTAATAACATAGTGACGGCATTGGGTAGGGCCCAGACACTGTGGATGCATGAGGTAACAACTACTCTGTCCATGTATGGAGAGCACTATTTCAGTGAGGTCACACTTGAAGCTGACCCCATGCCTTAGAAATGAGGGAGAACAGAATCCACTCTAGACTGAGTTCATTCCTTTGGCTTTGACAGTTGTAGACTCGTCAGCATTCCTCCTCTTTTAAACCCAAACATATCTGCAGTTTCCCGCAGTTCTTAAGACAGAATGTCCTAAATATATCAAAGCTGAAGAGCGAAGACTGCTGTATGTGGGCTGCTCTATTCTTGACTGTCCCTCCATCTTCGTGATCAGTCGAGCTTACTGTGTTACTGGTGATGTCCCAGAGCAGAGCAGATCTGAGCTCATCTGTAAAAAGCAGCTTTGAATTCCCATCTGGCTGCGCTGCTTGCTCTGGCTCTCTGTCTCTCTGGCTGGATATCACATTGTGACTGAAGAAGAGAGGACACGCCATAAAGTCCTTGGAGCCCACAGCCCAGGCTGCTTTAGATAGGTTGGATACATACACTACATGACCAAAAGTATGTGGACACCTGCTCGTCGAACATCTCATTCCAAGATCATGGGCATTAATATAGAGTTGGTCCCTCTTTGCTGCTCTAACAGCCTCCACTCTTCTGGGAAGGCTTTCCACTAGATGTTGGAAAATTACTGCAGGGACTTGCTTCCATTCAGCCACAAGAGCATTAGTGAGGTTGGGCACTGATGTTGGGCGATTAGGTCTGGCTCGCAGTCAGCGTTCCAATTCATCCCAAAGGTGTTCGATGGGGTTGAGGTCAGGGCTCTGTGCAGGCCAGTCAAGTTCTTCCACACGGATCTCGACAAACCATTTCTGTATGGACCTCGCTTTGTGCACAGGGGCATTGTCATGCTGAATCAGGAAAGGGCCTTCCCCAAACTGTTGCCACAAAGTTGGAAGCACAGAATCGTCTAGAATGTCATTGTTTGCTGTAGCGTTAAGAGTTCCCTTCACTGGAACTAAGAGGCCTAGCCTGAACTATGAAAAGCAGCCCCAGAACGTTATTCCTCCTCCACAAAACTGTACAGTTGGCACTATGCATTCTGGCAGGAAGCGTTCTCCTGGCATCCGCCAAACCCAGATTCGTCCGTCGGACTGCCAGATGGTGAAGTGTGATTCATCACTCCAGAGAACGTGTTTCCAGTGCTCCAGAGTCCAATGGCGGCGAGCTTTACCCCACTCCAGCCGACACTTGGCATTGCGCTTGGCTGCTTGGCCATGGAAACCCATTTCATTAAGCTCCCGACGAACAGTCCTTGTGCTAACATTGCTTCCAGAGGCAGTTTGGAACTCGGTAGTGAGTGTTGCAACCGAGGACAGACGATTTTTACGCGCTACACGCTTCAGCACAATGGCGGTCCCATTCTGTGAGCGTGTGTGGCCTACCACTTCATGGCTGAGCCGTTGTTTCTCCTAGAAGTTTCCATTTCACAACAGCACTTACAGTTGACCGGGTCAGCTCTAGCAGAGCAGAAATTTGACAAACTGACTTGTTAGAAAGGTGTCATCCTATGACGGTGCCACGTTGAAAGTCACTGAGCTCTTCAGTAAGGCCATTCTACTGCCAATGTTTGGTTATGGAGATTGCATGGCTGTGTTCTCGATTTTCTACACCTGTCAGCAACGAGTGTGGCTGAAATAGCCAAATCCACTAATTTGAAGGGGTGTCCACATACCTTTTGTATATATAGTGTACCACCCACATGAATAAATACTTACATTTACTATAGAATACTACAGTACATACTATATACTGTAATTCTGTAGTAAACTGTAGAATACTGTACTACACACTGTAGTATCCATTGATCATGTGTAGTACTTACTATATAATGTTGTAGTATACTGTAGAATACTATAGCAAATACTACAGGAATGTCCACAGAAACATGACACTTTTTTTAACTATAGTAAATACTACAGTATTTCATTTGCATATACCCTGCCCATTTCCCTCCCCCATATCCCATGTTTGCCACCCATAAGTAAGAAACCTACATGCCAAGTATAGACCATATTGTGTTCCATACAGGTTATAGAGCAGAAGCTCTATAACCTGTAGTCCTACCTACCTACCTACATACCTTCCTACAGGTTATGGAAACTTTGCTATTTTAATATTTTTCCAGTAGGTTTCACTTCTATGTCAAAGATAATACAACAAAAACACAATAGTAAATACTACAGTAATGTCTGCAAAAACACTATAGTAAATACTGCAGTATACTACAATCCGCAAAAACACTACACTAATTACTATAGTGTATACTACAGTTTTCTTTTACTACACTATTTATACTATAGTTAACTGTAAATACTACAGTGAATACTACAGTAAAGTCCGCAAGAACACTACAGTAAATACTTTTGTATTTATACCATAGTATGCTATAGTATTTTTTCATGTGGGCATTTACTATATCCTGAGTCACTCCCAGCAGATGGTTATCTCCAAAATGAGGAGAACAGCTATGAAAACTCACCTTAACGTGACCCTTGGAGTGTTTTGTAGATTGGCTTATGGAAGGAGGCCATGTCGGCCGACTAATACACGCGGTATGCTGAGTAAATATACTGTGATGTTTGATTTAATCACAGAAATGGCCGCGGTAAAGACCCACCTGCGATGAAAGCTGGCAGAGGGCAGAAGATCGGGGACTGAATACAGGCTTTCTGTCCGCTGTTCATGTTATCTCTTCATTTTAGCACTGAGGATTACCACCTGTTGCCACAGAGCATTGCTCTTTTCCTCGCAGCTGTGGCCTACCTTTTCACGGGTTGTGCTTTGCTTGCCATAATGTGTGTGCGACTAGGGTCCTAACAAGAAAACAGCCACATCGTCACTGAACTGAGACTGAACCAGACTGCTATGTTATGTCTGCTGAAGTCATAGGTTCTTTAAACCTTAATGAAATCCCTGGAACAGTGTCTTTGTGCGTACTGGCATTTGTATGCCTCAGCGCGTCTGTTTGCTGTAAACTGGGTGAGACACTGAGCTACCTCACTGTCCGAAAAATAACAGAGACAGAGGCCTCTTTCACTGGCAATACAAAGGGAGAACAACTGTTGATGGCACTGGGAGCGCTTTTTTATTGATAACTAATGAAGGGTTAGAGTTTGTGACCTCAAGGCCTAGTCTGCTTGATATTTATTGAAATTCATAACCACAGTAGAGACAGATAAATAGAATAGTTTAGAGCAAAACAGGCCTATTTTAGAGAATAACACTAGTTTTATGAGTACAGACAGACAGAAAATGTGTCTGGCCCTTATTACAGAGAAACTTTAATGAAAACTTTTTTTTCCATTGAAAACCAAATGTTTTTGGCTTAGTTATAGTGGAACGCCAATTCTGGTCTTCATTTTAAAAGTTTGTTGCAGAAGTGATATATTTTGGTATTTTCGTGGTAAATGTAGCTCTTTTTGCCCCTAGCATTCCAACTCTACCATTGAAATCGTGATGTAGAGGCACCTACGTCATCTCAAGGGAGGGGTTCAATATGAAATACACTCCCTTCTAGATGTGCTGGGTGGTACCACCTCAAGGCTTTCTATAAAAGCAGGTGACAGCACGCCTTATTTGGCAATGGTCTTGGTAAGTGTAGTGTGCCAATATATTTAGCATGATGCTTCCTTGACTAGACTACTGACGTTACACAAAATTCAAAAGGCAGTAAGGCACATTTCCAAATATGACCAAATGTAAATGTTTTTGCTTACCGTTTACATCTACAGTATGTGCTTTTACAAAGAAAAAAATTAGTTTATATCCGTAGCTACATCCATCGTAACAAGAAATAGATGGCAATGATGGTCATGTCAACTCGTTGTATCTTTTCCCAACCACTATGACTGATTGGTGGATCTGTCCACTAAAACAGTTGGCTCATAGTTCAATGGTTGTGAGTTCTAATCCAACATGTTTTATCCATTACATACGATATTCATCCCGTGCCCACACACTAATTCTGAAAAGTGAAAGCATACTTGTGAGAGGGTTCGCCCTGGTAGTAGTTATAGGTTTTTATACAGTACCTAAAACCAATCTGAGTTAATTTGACAATTGGAAAAAGAGCTACTGCGTAAATACTGCAATGCGGGTTGGATTGAATTGAGCCCCTAATCTTAATTTTCAAGGTGATGATTGCATTTTTCTTCCCAACACAATACCGTGATAAATGTGAGTACAGATTTCAGAATTTTTTTGGCATCCCATGGTGGATTCAAACCTACACCACAAGTAGCAATAGATGTCAGGAACTCGGCGCTTTACCACTGTGAGCTAGCTAGCCGTAATTGTTCGTGATGCACATAATTTTATTATCAGAGCGTGCCAGTATGGTTTAGTGAGAAAGTGTTGGGATCAGGTACAACTACGTTTACCCACCCCCAAAATGAATATTTATGAGACATTTTTTTTTGGCGGGCAAAGGCTGAAATTGCTTGTTGTTGGAGTGTGGGGAAGCTGTGGTGAACCTAGTTGTAAGCCCTCTGTGCTTGTGTTTCCACACTGCAGGTGTTCAGCACCTACTCTAACGAGGAATACGACCGGCGCAATGATGAGGTGGACCCCGTGGCAGCGTCGGCTGAGTACGAGCTGGAGAAGAGGGTGGAGAAGATGGACGTATTCCCTGTGGAAATTGAAAAGGGTCAGTGTTCTCGTCTGTATTTCATCTTTCCTTTATTAATCCAAGTGTCTCTGAGTACCATTGAGATTTTTTTACAAGGCCTCCCTGGCAAAGAGCAGCATCATCATGATCATCACAAGGGTCCAGAGGATGCAGTCCCATCCATCCATTCTAACTTCCCATACTTGTTTGTCCCACAGGAGACAACGGCCTGGGCATCAGTATCATAGGGATGGGAGTGGGAGCTGACCAGGGCCTGGAGAAACTGGGAATCTTTGTGAAGACCATAACAGAGCGAGGAGCGGCTGAACGGGATGGCAGGTGATGCCCCGCCCCCTGGGGGAACGCGCTACACACTACTGTGCTTACAGAAGCGTTCAAGTTTTAACCATGTTTTATCCTTGGCAGTTAAAATATGTTGTACAGTAGACACCTGGAACTGTCTCTGGATGCATAATAGGACCATCACAATGATCCACAACACTGCCGGGATGTCAAAGGGTACAAATGCTTCATTTCCCCATGGTCTTCAGACACCATTTCTAAGCAACTGGCTGTATTTATAACCCTGTGAGGCAGCGAAAGAAAATAGCTCCTTCCGCTTCCCAGGGAATCTGGCCTTATGTTGCGCTGCCAGCTGGAAGAATTTGTTAACTGAAAAAAGGAAAGAGTTGCTACAACATTGTTACAGTACATCCCTTGTTGATTACACGCCCTCTTTCCAACATACGGTACGTCTTAAATGTCTTGCTTTATGATTGCATGTTGTCCTTTCCACTAGGATCCAGGTGAATGACCAAATAGTGGAGGTGGATGGGATCAGTCTGGTGGGAGTGACTCAGCTGTTTGCTGCTACAGTCCTGAAGAACACTAAAGGAACGGTCAGGTGAGCTGTGTCCAGCTCCAGTAGGCCTTTTGAAATAAGTCGTTATGATCCTAGGTGTGACTAGCCTCGCCCACAGGGTTCTAGGTTATCTGGCAACGTGAGATTAAAGGTGTGGCAGTCCGGTAGCCTACCAGTAAATTACCTCATAACTATCTTTTTAAAGTGGTTAGGTATGACTGGAGGGAAATGAATATCCTTGAGAAATGTATATAGAATAAATGGGTTTGTTTTTATTATTGTATACTGATTGTGCCTCAGGCCTACACAAAGAGAGCAGCCCACACGGGGCACGGGTGAATATGTGAATGATTCACCATAGGCAAATGAAACGCACACACTAGGAAAAGTTCAATAAACAGCTTTAATCCGTTTTGCCTTACATTACAACGACTCATATCAGCATGAGTCAGTTATTATGATTGCTCTAAGCCTTGGCATACCAGTTTAGTTTAAAAGGGAATGCAATTGACCAGCCAGGCGTCTGCTGGTACTACCACTCTCCACGCTGACCTACCACGCTCTCACACAAACAGCTTTCTGATTGGCCGGGAGAAGCCGGGGACACAGAGCGAGGTTGCGCGTCTGATCAGCGAGACTCTGGAGCAGGAGAAGAGCCAGCAGGAGCAGCAGCACCTGGACGACCCCTACGAACAGTCCACCGAGGAGGTGAGTCACCTGGGCGGCCTCACCCAACACTGGCCCCTGGCCATGTGGTTAGCCCAGTCCAGTCACACAGTGAGTGAGCATTGTGTGTTGTCACCCTGGGGCTGTGTGGGGGGGATCTGGCTGCTGGAGCCTGCTGGAATTGTGCAATATTTGCTTTTCAAAAGCACAAGCAACCACAAGCCTTTATTTATAAAGGAACTGGGCACGGAAAGGTAGGGCTCCTGGAAAAGCGAGACAAAGCTTAAGCCTATTGGATCTCATAAAAGGTGATATACATGTCCCGTTATGGAACATATTTCATACGCATGCATCTACTTGAATACCGGGCTACTCGTGTACAAGGAGCTGTGTGTTGGTAGTGGGTGACAAAATGGGCAGATATTTGACCGCTTCTGTGTAGGTATGCAAATCAATGAGTTGTGTGGGGAATTATGTCGTGTTTTTCCCTGTGTTCTGTTTTGCCTCATGTTTGGGGTTGGTTGTGTGATGGAACATGTTGATGCAGAGATGAGTTTCCTTCTGATACAGGCCTCCTGCTGGGCTCTCTGCAGGCTGTCACGGTAACACTGGGATATGATGTAGTGATTACCCATACCTCCCCCCTGAGTGCCGAGCCGCAGGGCGCCACGTGGGCGTGGGCAGGTGATTGGCTGTGTGATGTCATTGTGTGGTTGTGGTTTGTTATGTTTCAGGAGGAGCACTACGAGGAGGAAGACGGAGAGGAAGAAGATATGCTAGGGTCTAGTTTCTCTGGTGGAAGGACGGTGGAGGTGTTTGACCTGCCGGAGACAGAGGCCATGTTCATGCCCTTCAACATGGACTCCACACAGATGGGCTTCAAATTCCAGGAGGTATTTCACCTGATAGTATTATCACAGGTTTATATTATGGTGGATGTGTCATTGTTTGTGTGAAATGTGTTTGTTTTTGTTACTTAAATGGTTTATTTCTTTACCCTAGCTCCAACTGAAACACAGCATAGGAACAGCTGAAATAAACCAACTGAAGGAAAAGGTATGTAAATCTGAAGAACAAGCTACTGTTTCATAAACATGAGTACAAATGGATCAATGCATGGAGTGCAATCTGTCGCCGCCCGGTGACCAACCGTAATTATCGTCTGTCTGTCTCATCTGACTGACCGTAATGATTTGAATATGTTAATTGTACTAGTAGATGAGAAGCCTAAAAATACATTTCACTCTTCCTCTACAGCTAAGGGCGTCCGAGGAGGACAAAGCATCCAGGGAGTCGAGGGTGGCTGAGTTGGAGCAGAAGATTGAGGAGAGCAATGAGAAAATGTTGAATCTGGAAGGGTACTGGCTAGAGGCCCAGGCCCTGTGTAAAACTGTCAACGAGCACCTGTCTGAGACCCAGAGCCAGTACGAGGCCCTGGACAAGAAATACAACAAGGCCAAGAAACTTCTCAAAGATTACCAGCAGAAGTGAGTTGAGTTCACTAAGGGTCCAATTATTAAGTCTCGACTTCAGCTGAGTGAGTTTCTGTGTTGACCTGTGCTTCCCTCACTCTGAACAGGCTGAAGGCTTCGTTCCACTTCCTCTACGCTGAGTCATGTTGTATAGAAAGTACAGTACAGTGCATTCGGAAAGTATTCAGACCCCTTGACTTTTTCCACATTATTATATTACATTATATTACATTATATTACATATATTACATTATATTACATTACAGCCTTATTCTAAAATGGATTACATTACATTATATTACATTATTATATTACATATATTACATTATATTACATTACAGCCTTATTCTAAAATGGATTAAATTGTTTTTTCCCCTCATCAATCTACACTCAATACCCCGTAATGACGTAATGCTACAAAGAAAATTTAATAAAAAATATAACATTTACATAAGTATTCAGACCCTTTACTCAGTACTTTGTTGAAGCACCTTTGGCAGCGATTACAGCCTTGAGTAGCTTCTTGGGTATGGCGCTACAAGCTTGGCACACCTGTATTTGGGGAGTTTCTCCCATTCTTCTCTGCAGATCCTCTCAAGCTCTGTCAGGTTGGATGGGGAGCGTTGCTGCACAGCTATTTTCAGGTCTCTCCAGAGATGTTAGATCGGGTTCAAGTCCGGGCTCTGGCAGGACCACTCAAGGACATTCAGAGACTTGTCACGAAGCCACTCCTGCATTGTCTTGGCTGTGTGCTTAGGGTTGTTGTCCTGTTGGAAGGTGAACCTTCGCCCCAGTCTGAGGTCCTGAGCGCTCTGGAGCAGGTTTTCATCAAGGATCTCACTGTACTTTGCTCCGTTCATCTTTCTCTCGATCCTGACTAGTCTCCCTGTCCCTGCTGCTGAAAAACATCCCCAAAGCATGATGCTGCCACCACCATGCTTCACTGTAGGGATGGTGCCAGGTTTCCTCCAGACGTGACGCTTGGCATTCAGGCCAAAGAGTTCAATCTTGGTATCATCAGACAAGAGAATCTTGTTTCTCCTGGTCTGAGAGTCCTTTAGGTGCCTTTTGGCAATCTCCAAGTGGGCTGTCATGTGCCTTTTACTGAGGAGTGGCTTCCGTCTGGCCACTCTACCATAAAGGCCTGATTGGTGGAGTGCTGCAGAGATGGTTGTCCTTCTGGAAGGTTCTCCCATCTCCACAGAGGAACTCTGGAGCTCTGTCAGAGTGACCATCGGGTTCTTGGTCACCTCCATGACCAAGGCCCTTCTCCCCCAATTGCTTAGTTTGGCCGGGCGGCCAGCTCTAGGAAGAGTCTTGGTGGTTCCAAACTTCTTCCATTTAAGAATTATGGAGGCCATTATGTTCTTGGGGACCTTCAATACTGCAGACATTTTCTGGTACCCTTCCCCAGATCTGTGCCTCAACACAATCCTGTCTCGGAGCTCTACGGACAATTCCTTCGACCTCATGGCTTGGTTTTTGCTGTGACATGCACTGTCAACTGTTGGACCTTATATAGACAGGTGTGTGCCTTTCGAAATCATGTCCAATCAATTGAATTTGCCACAGGTGGACTCCAATCAAGTTGTACAAACATCGCAAGGATGATCAATGGAAACAGGATGCACCTGAGCTCAATTTCGAGTCTCATAGCAAAGGGTCTGAATACTTATGTAAATAAGGTATTTCTGTTTTTTATTTTAATTACATTTGCAAAAAATTCTAACAAGCTGTTTTCACTTTGTCATTATGGGGTATTGTGTGTAGATTGATGAGGAACAATGTAATCAATTTTAGAATAAGGCTGTAACGTAAGAAATGTGGAAAAGGGGAAGGGGTCTGAATACTTTCCAAATGCACTGTATGTCCACACGTCAGTGGAATGATTTATGAAGTCTAATGGTCTGATTCCTTTCCAGGGAGATTGACTTTGTGAAGAAGGAGGAGGAGCTGAAGAAAGTTCTAGATGAGAAGGATCGATGGTACAAGGAGCAGCTTGAAAGCCTGCAGGACAGGGTGAGAGGAACATATTGTGAGAAAGAGACTGGAATATTAGAACAGACCTAGTAGAGAGAGGGTTGACTGTCCGTTCTGTGGTTCTCTCCTCAGATAGCGGTCCTGGAGGACAGCGGTCCGTCTGCTGACCGCTTGGAGACCCAGTCGGGTCAGGACCTTGCCGAGGAGAGGAGATGGAGCATCCAGGGGAGTGAAGGCCCCGTCACCAACACACAGTCTGTGGACTCTCTACTGTTAGGTAATGCTAAACGTGCACTTGACGAGAGCATGCATCAGTAGGAGGCTAGGAGCCACCTTCCATTTACCACCAAAGGAGGGCAAGAGTGTGTTTGCGTCTCAAATGGCACCCTTTTTACTATACACTGAGTGCACAAATCATTAGGAACATGACATAGGCTGACCAGGTGAAATTCAGGTGAAAGCTATGATCCCTTATTGATGTCACCAACTTGGCACAACTGTGGGAAGCATTGGAGTCAACATGGGCCAGCATCCCTGTGGAACGCTTTCTACACCTTGTAGAGTCCATGCACCGACGAATTGAGGCTGTTCTGAGGGAAAAAGGGGTTGCAACTCATTATTAGATGTGTTCCTAATGTTTTGTACATTCAGTGAACCAGTGGGCCCTGACCAGAAGTAGCCCACTAAATAGGGAATAGGGTGACATTTGGGAAGCAGCCACAGTCTGTGAACCTCAGTGTCTGAGAATAGTGTAGTGTATGCCTCATGTGTAGTAGTGATGGAGAAAAATATATATACAGTTACTTATCACAATATTATTTTGGGACAATATTATATTGATATTTGACTCCATAGTATCGATTTGTAAAAATGTTTTATGTACGTAGCGTTAGCTAGCGCTACTCTGCTGTACCTGCGGCAAAACTCTGGTATTTTTCATCCTATAGCTTGTTCTCCTTTTTAAATAGTTTTCAGCACTTTTATTTCCCTGACTGATCAAAACTAGTTTTCTCATGCTCTCTCATCTCTCTGCAGCAGACATATAGTGAGCAATATGTTTGGAACATAAAATCACAGTATTGAATCGCAATACAAATTGTATCTGCCCTAATGTCTAGTGTACTGAGCTGTGTTTTGTCCCTCCTCCACAGATACAGACTGGAGCGAGCTGGTCCCTGAGACTGAGCGCTTGGACACCAGTGCCCACAAGGCCAAGGGCTTACTGGCCCCAAGGAGGAATCGTCCGTCTCGCAACAAACTGAAGGAGAACCATGGCGCCTCCCCTTGCCAGTCACAGGTCAGCTCTGAAAGTTATCTCATTAATTTTGAAAATAATATCAGGGTCAATATTACTAGCTAATTCAAATATATATCCTTCCTCATCTCCTTCTATTGACTGCATGTTCAATACCAATGTTCACATGTATCAGTCCCATCTCCGAGCCACTGTTTCTCTTTAGTCATCACTGCTGACTGTGTTTTCCCTCCAGGAGAACAAGGAGGAGGGGGAGGATGCGGAGGAGGATTATCCCAGGAGGAGGAGGTCCATCCAGGAGAGCCTGTTCCTGCCCGTGCCCATCTGCTACCCTGGGAACAGCCAGAGGGACGAGATCCCCGAGGCTGGGGAGAGATCCAGGAGCAAGCTGGAGCTCTCCAGCAGCGCCTCCCTGCCCCCGTCCCAGAGAAACAGCGTAGAGAGTGGGAGCAGTCCTTCTCTGTCCCCGCCTAAAGATGCCTCTTCGCTCTCGCCACACTCCCCCTCAGGGCTCCTGCGCAATGTCAAGAAGAGGGAGTCCAAGGGGAAGGGCAAGGAGCTCAAAGGTACTGGCCCATGTCCACAGATCAGTCTGCTACCAACAACATTCTCCTCACACAGTACATTTACAAACAAGTTGTTGCTACTATCACCGCTGACTGTCACCATATTGATGTGGCTCTTACTGGCTCTTACTGACTCTGCTTGCAGCAGTTTATTTCATTGTTATTGTGAAAATATGACTCTGTTACAGATGAGACAAATGAGGGTTCTTCAGTAGGAAAACCCAAAAAGACGATTTTTGGGTAAGTGCCTGAGAGAATGATTTGTTTTCAATTTGACAGTCCTGTTAGTCCTGTTAGTCCTGTGTTATCTAAAGCTCTTGAAAACCAACAGTGGCCTTCGGAAGTCTGGTGGCAAAGGGAAGAAACATGACAAGGAGGCAATGCGAGCATCTCTGGACAGCAGGTATGTCACTACATGTCACTATGCCTACTGTGTCACCACATCCTGGGTATGTCGTCACCATACACTCACAGCTCTGCTATCAGAGGACCTTTGTGCTATTAAAGAGACAATATGTAATTTGGAGACTTAGCTTATTTGTCTTAATTTTCCTAATGCCCAGGGGTTCTGCCGAGCTCCTGGAGGAATCTGGAGGGAACCTGTCCCCCTCTGAGTCCATGACCTCTATACCCACCTGTATGCCCTTCTCCTGGTTTGGGGACAGAGACAGAGACAGGGACAAGGAGCCTTCGTCCTCCAGCAGCAGCCTACCATACGCAGCCACTGAGACCAGCAGCGAGCAGAGCCAGGACCGCAAAAACAAGGTAAGAACGCACACACACACAGCTGACCCCATCAAAAGACGGAAAGAAAAAGCCCTCATAATCTAAACACAGATGTTTAGTCATTTCAGAATCACCAGTAACAAACAGAAGCAGAAGACATTTGCATTAAAGAGAGATTTCATTAAGCCATTTTAACTAGTATGCCAAATCCAGCCGGGACTCAAAATTACATTTCATTAGCCATGTATTTAGAGAGTTGGGCCAATATGGGTTTCTGCATTATGATGCATTTACATGACACTTCAACATTCTATGGCAGCCATGTTAGCTACCCATTAACATTACATGGGGGATGATTAAACAATGCTATGTAACTGAATATTCAAAATTTGAAAAGTTGGTCTAACTCTCTAACTATGTGGCTCTGGCTACTACAAAGTGAAATGAAAGCCGGCCTTTCCTGTGTCACTGAACTGCCCCCTCTCCGTCTGGACCGTTTCATGGTATGTTGGCCAGTAATAAGTCAGTGATTAATTGGTCAGTAATCCACAGTTTAAGGTTTCTGCTCTGGATGGAAATAAATACCAAATCCAGTCAAGAGATGTGCAGCAGGCAGCCAGCCAGCCGGCCGGTGTCGTGTTTCCCAGCGAGGGATGATGACATTGCTGTTCAAAAGTAGTGCACTATATAGGGGGCTTTTTGAGACCCAGCCCCGTTATTAATCAGAGAGCGACAGAGGAGGAGGATTCACTGGCATTTCAATGGCTTAGCAACCAGAGAATTATCCCCATTAAATGCATCTACTCAAACAGGCCTGACTAATTCACAACCAGGCTGCCTGGGGAGTAGATGGAGGCCAACAGCACCAGGCTGCCTGGGGAGTAGATGGAGGCCAACAGCACCAGGCTGCCTGGGGAGTAGATGGAGGCCAACAGCACCAGGCTGCCTGGGGAGTAGATGGAGGCCAACAGCACCAGGGCTGTGGGGAGTTAGTGGGCAGTGTGTGGGCAGTGTTGGCCACAAACAGGGTCTCCCCTGGTTCTGCTGGCTGGGATTCTACTTCTCGGAGTCTGTGTCCCATGGTCCTTTGCCAGCTAGAGCAGTGTCATCCACAGTGTACAGTATGGAGAACGACATGACAAGCTCTCTACTAACAGTCCTTCTTTCAAAACAGACAAATCTCTCCTGGTCCTCTTTATTCAGTCGCTCATTAGATTTGGTACAGTATGATTTCCTTTTCATCCCCCCAATCTTAGAGGAGCTGGTAGACTAGAACTAACCCTTCATCTAGTGTTGTGATTGTTCATTCCGCATCTAGATCATACTAATATACCCCAAAATTGATTTGTGTCGATGTAGTGGAATTGGGTTTGTGGTAGTGTGTCAAGCACTCTAAATCTAACATTTCACATTTATGTTGCTTCGGCATACCTTTCATATCATACATGATTTGATGATTAGTATTATCAGTCTGAATTAATCACAAATGATGGAGAAAGCGTGCTCTTGATACAGTAGCACATTGTTTCTGGAGTGGTGTGTTAGTGCTGTATTAGTAGAAATAGTTGTTTGTGTGTCATAAGTGTCGTAGTAGAAGTAGTTTGTTTGTTTAGTCATTTTGTCGAGTTATGTTTGTTGTGGATTTGTTTGACTTTGTTTTTTTTCTACCCCTCTGTTATGATGAAAATGTATTTACACAGGATTCCCAGTGCTGATATCACGATAGAGCACATTTAATCAATGCTAATCCTCGTTTAATTAGGTGTGCTTGCAAAGCAGAACTAAATCAAATCAAATTTTATTGGCCACATGCGCCGAATACAACAGGTGCAGACATTACAGTGACATGCTTACTTACAGCCCTTAACCAACAGTGCATTTATTTTTAATAAAAATGTAAAATAAAACAACAAAAAAGTGTTGAGAAAAAAAGAGCAGAAGTAAAATAAAATAACATGTACCCAGGGGGGTACCGGTGCAGAGTCAATGTGCGGGGGCACCGGCTAGTTGAGGTAGTTGAAGTAATATGTACATGTGGGTAGAGTTAAAGTGACTATGCATAAATAATTAACCGAGTAGCAGCAGCGTAAAAAGATGGGGTGGGGGGGCAGTGCAAATAGTCCGGGTTGCCTTGATTAGCTGTTCAGGAGTCTTATGGCTTGGGGGTAGAAGCTGTTGAGAAGTCTTTTGGACCTAGACTTGGCATTCCGGTACCGCTTGCCGTGCAGTAGCAGAGAGAACAGTCTATGACTAGGGTGGCTGGAGTCTTTGACAATTTTGAGGGCCTTCCTCTGACACCGCCTGGTATAGAGGTCCTAGGTGGCAGGAAGCTTAGCCCCATTGATGTACTGGGCCGTACACACTACCCTCTGTAGTGCCTTGCGGTCGGAGGCCAAGCAGTTGCCATACCAGGCGGTGATGCAACCAGTCAGGATGCTCTCGATGGTGCAGCTGTATAATTTTTTGAGGATCTGAGGACCCATGCCAAATCTTTTCAGTCTCCTGAGGGGGAATAGGCTTTGTTGTGCCTTCTTCACGACTGTCTTGGTGTGTTTGGACCATGATAGTTCGTTGGTGATGTGGACACCAAGGAACTTGAAGCTCTCAACCTGTTCCACTACAGCCCCGTCGATGAGAATGGGGGCGTGCTCAGTCCTCTTTTTTTTTCATGTAGTCCACAATCATCTCCTTTGTCTTGGTCACGTTGAGGGAGAGGTTGTTATCCTGGCACCACACGGCCAGGTCTCTGACCTCCTCCCTATAGGCTGTCTCATCGTTGTCGGTGATCAGGCCTACCACTGTTGTGTCGTCGGCAAACTTAATGATGGTGTTGGAGTTGTGCTTGGCCATGCAGTCATGGGTGAACAGGGAGTACAGGAGGGGACTGAGCATGCACCCCTGAGGGGCCCCCGTGTTGAGGATCAGTGTGGCAGATGTGTTGTTACCTACCCTTACCACCTGGGGGCGGCCCGTCAGGAAGTCCAGGATCCAGTTGCAGAGGGAGGTGTTTAGTCCCAGGATCCTTAGCTTAGTGATGAGCTTTGAGGGCACGATGGTGTTGAATGCTGAGCTGTAGTCAATGAATAGCATTCTCACGTAGGTGTTCCTCTTGTCCAGGTGGGAAAGGGCAGTGTGGAGTGCAATAGAGATTGCATCATCTGTGGATCTGTTGGGGCGGTATGCAAATTGGAGTGGTTCTAGGGTTTCTGGGATAATGGTGTTGATGTGAGCCATGACCAGCCTTTCAAAGCACTTCATGGCTACAGACGTCAGTGCTACGGGTCGGTAGTCATTTAGGCAGGTTATCTTAGTGTCCTTGGGCACGGGGACTATGGTGGTCTGCTTGAAACATGTTGGTATTACAGACACAGTCAGGGACATGTTGAAAATGTCAGTGAAGACACTTGCCAGTTGGTCAGCACATGCTCGGTGTACACGTCCTGGTAATCCGTCTGGCCCTGCGGCCTTGTGAATGTTGACCTGCTTAAAAGTCTTACTCACATCGGCTACGGAGAGCGTCATCACATAGTCATCCGGAACAGCTGGTGCTCTCATGCATGCTTCAGTGTTGCTTGCCTCGAAGCGAGCATAGAAGTGGTTTAGCTCGTCTGGTAGGCTTGTGTCACTGGGAAGCTCGCGGCTGTGCTTCCCTTTGTAGTCTGTAATAGTTTTCAAGCCCTGCCACATCCGACGAGCGTCAGAGCCGGTGTAGTACGATTCAATCTTAGTCCTGTATTGACTCTTTGCCTGTTTGATGGTTTGTCGGAGGGCATAGCGGGATTTCTTATAAGCGTCCGGGTTAGAGTCCCGCTCCTTGAAAGCGGCAGCTCTACCCTTTAGCTCAGTGCGGATGTTTCCTGTAATCCATGGCTTCTGGTTGGGGTATGTACGTACGGTCACTGTGGGGACGACATCATCATCGATGCACTTATTGATGAAGCCAGTGACTGATGTGGTGTACTCCTCAATGCTATCTGAAGAATCCCGGAACATGTTCCAGTCTGTGCTAGCAAAACAGTCCTGTAGCTTAGCATCTGCGTCATCTGACCACTTTTTTATTAACCGAGTCACTGGTGCTTCCTGCTTTAGTTTTTGCTTATAAGCAGGAATCAGGAGGATAGAGTTATGGTCAGATTTGCCAAATGGAGGGCGAGGGAGAGCTTTGTATGCGTCTCTGTGCGTGGAGTAAAGGTGGTCTAGAGTTTTTTTTCCTCTGGTTGCACATTTAACATGCTGGTAGAAATTAGGTAGAACGGATTTAAGTTTCCCTGCATTAAAGTCCCCGGCCACTAGTAGCGCTGCCTCTGGATGAGCGTTTTCCTGTTGACTTATGGCCTTATACAGCTCATTCAGTGCAATCTTAATGCCAGCAACTATAGACATCTTATTATTATTATATTTATTCCGCCCACTCTAGAACTTAAACGATTTTATCTATTAGTTTTGATAGCATTTATACTTTTTTAACTATAACAATATTTAAACAAGTTCCCAATGCATTTCAATGGCAAAAAAAAGGGCCATAGACTTACAGTACCTTCAGGAAGTATTCACACCCCTTGACCTTTTCCACGTTTTGTTGTTAGAGCCTGCATTTAAAATGAATTAAATTGAGGTTTTGTGTCACTGGCCTAAACACGATACCCGATAATGTCAGTGTAATTATGTTTTTAGACATTTTTACCAATTAATTACAAATGTAAAGCTGAAATGTCTTGAGTTAATAAGTATTCAACCCCTTTGTCATGGCAAGCATAAATAAGTTCAGGAGTACAAATGTGCTTAACAAGTCACATAATAAGTTGCATGGACTCACTCTGTGTGCAATAATAGTGTTTAACATGATTATTGAATGACTACCTCATCTCTGTACCCCACACATATAATTATCTGTAAGGTCTCTGTCGAGCAGTGAATTTCAAACACAGATTCAACCACAAATACCAGGGAGGTTTTCTAATGCCTCTCAAAGAAGGGCACCTATTTGTAGATGGAAAAAAAAAAAAGCAGACATTGAAAATCCCTTTGAGCATGGTGAAGTTATTAATTACACTTTGGATGATGTATCAATACACCCAGTCACTATAAAGATACAGGCGTCCTTCCTAAGTCAGTTGCCGGAGAGGAAGGAAACCGCTCAGGGATTTCACCATGAGGCCAATGGTGACTTTAAAACAGAGTTTAATGGCTGTGATGGGAGATAACTGAGGATGGATCAACAACATTCTAGTTACTCCACAATACTAACTTAAATGAGTGTGAAAAGAAGGAAGCCTGTACAGAATACAAATATTTCCAAAACATGCATCCTGTTTGCAACAAGGCACTAAAGTAAAACTGCGAAATTGGCAAAGAAATTAACTTTATGTCATGAATACAAGGCGTTATGTTTGGGGCAAACACAACACATCACTGAGTACCACTCTTCATATTTTCAAGCATGGTGGTGGCTGCATCATGTTATGGGTATGCTTGTCATCGGCAAGGACTAGGGACTTGTAGAATAGAGCTCAGGATAGGCAAAATCCTGGAGGAAAACCTGGTTCCGTCTGCTTTCCAACAGACACTGGGAGACAAATTCACCTTTCAGCAGGACAATGACCTAAAACAAATATACACTGGAGTTGCTTACCAAGATGACATTGAGTGTTCCTGAGTGGCCTAGTTACAGTTTTGTCTTATATCGGCTTAAAAATCTATGGCAATACTTGAAAATGGCTGTCTAGCAATGATCAACAACCAACTTGACAGAGCTTGAAGAATTTAAAAAAGAATAATGTGCAAAAATTGTATAATCCAGGTGTGAGAAGCTCTTAGAAAATCACAGCTGTAATCGCTGCCAAAAGTGATTCTAACATACATAGACTCAGAGGTGTGAATACTTATGTAAATGAGAGATTTCTGTATTTATTTTCAATACATTGCTAAAAACATGTTTTTACTTTGTCACTATGGGGTATTGTGTGTAAAAAAAACGTTTTTTTTTATTATTCAGGCTGTAACACAACAAAAGTATGTGTACTTTTGGAACGATAACCATTTAAAATGTGCATAAATTAACATGGGTTTGAGTGAGAACCATAGTAATACAGTGGTTGCTATTCAAAATGCTATTCATAAATTAGCATAAAATAACTCACCAACAGTAACTCTTGAAACGGTCAAGCTAAAGACACCAAACCAATTTTCGCATGTTCAGGCTATCCTAACTTCAAATTCTTAAACATTTGTCAACTATAACTATATACACTCAGTGGACAGTTTATTAGGCACACCCATCTAGTATCGGGTCAGACCCCTCTTTGCCTCCAGAACAGCCTGAATTCTTTGAGGAATGGAAACATTGCTCAATTGGTATCAAGGGACCTAACATGTGCCAGGAAAACATTTACCACACCAGTACACCACTGCCATCAGCCTGTACCGTTGACACCAGGCAGGATGGGGCCATGGACACGTGCTGTTAACGCCAAATCCTGACTCATCCATCAACATGACGCAAATTTGTATAAAATACCCACCAATATTAAGTCTTGAACTGTTCAAGCTAGAGACACCAAACCAACTTTCACATGTTCAGGTTACCCTAACTCAAACTTGATCAACATTTTCATAACTTTGCATAAATTAGCCCACCAACAGTAACTCTGTTCAAGCTAAAGACACCAAACCAACTTTCACGTTATCCTATCCTAAGAATCAATCGATCCTTCACAAGCTTGCAAGCACACCACTTCTTCTTCAGAAAATGTACTTTTCTAGTTCTCAACCTAAAGTTCCATGTTTTCATTTTTTATTTTTTTTATTTTAGGGGGTAGATCAGCTTTAATATTGCAGATAGATTGTAACTTCCATCAATGTAATTGTCTGCATCACTTCCAATCCCCCATATGTTTTTTTCTCTCGCAAATGTATAATATATACATACATACATACATACATATACATATCCTTTAAATAAAAATATATTTCCTTTATTACTTTCCAACCCCACCACCCCTTCCCTAATTGGAGTAAACTAGTGAACAACAATGCTTAGGCCTCTACTTCCAGCTTATACATACTATATACATTTTATGGACACAGTCAATTTTACAATAATTCAATTTTGTTTGTTTTTACTCCTGAACATCCTCTACTCTCAACCTCTCCAATCATTTTCATGGTGTCCCTCCAGTTTGCTTCTGTATGCCATATCTTTCTAACTGTGCTCTTTCACAAAAGCTCTCAACCTATAACCTATATACTTATTATGCTTACATTATTAGTTATCTTGTTGTTATTAGTTGTTGTTATTAGTCCCATCCTTCAACTCCATTCAACACCACCCATCTATCTCTTAACACCATCCATATTGGATTTATATTTGCCATATATTTTTCAACTGTACTGTAATGTTTTACAAAAGTTCTGAACCTTTCTATTCATTGTTTCTACAGATTGTAAATTGAAAATAAACATTTTTGCTAAAAGTGTTATTATATTATTGATCCATGTTTACAGTACTACTGTGGATCCCCTTCCTCCCTAGAGCTTTACGCCCCAGAGTAAAGAACTGTTCTTTACCCATCCATGTGTTTGTCTAGTTAATGCGTTCCTCTTTGTTTCCACTTGTTCCAGAGTTTGTCAGTCATAGATGATTCAAACCCTGGCAGCCCCAGTTCAGACACCGCAGGCTTAGTTGCAGAGCCCAATCTGTCTGGGCGCTCGCATACTTTAATCTTCTCGTCCAGTGAGGTGAGTGCTCTCTCTCTTTGTTCCACGTCCACAAAAGCCCGTGTGGGATGGTGCTGCTCAGATGTCTCTGAGACGGGGCAGTCTCAAGCATGCTCTTTGCCCCCTTGTGGCTGTGATGATGGAATCATGAATGGCCGCCGGAGAATGAAGTTGCATGTGTGTGATGAAGTTGTCTGTGTGGTGTTAAAACACATTTCTGTCTTTAGCTTTGGGTCCTTGTTGTGCAGTCAACTAGCTGAACTAGCAGAAGAGGCTCCTTAGTTAGACCATAGAATGATCTGTGCTGCTACTGTGTCTGTTTAGTTGAACTTGTCTTAAATTCCTTTTTATATGTTGTTGGATTGTGTGTATGGTTGTGTTTTGTGGCTGGTGTTTCAGTTGATAAGTGATTTATTATACTCAGATAAACGTTAAGACCAAAGCCCTGCCTACTATACTCAAACAAACCAGGTATGATAGGTAGAACAAAACAAACATGCTCCCTCTGCATGTTCTGGCCTCTTCCACTTAACAGCGTTGTGACAAACTCTGAATCAACCAGTGCACACAGCTTTTTTATGGGATTTCAGTCACTGGATGTGCAATGCATGTACCAAATGTGCTTTGCACCGTGCGATTATATTTTGATATTGTGCTTAAACGTTGTCATGTAACTGACATTGATTCGCTATTTAATCCATTATACTGTGCTGTCGGTGACTGTTGTTTTGTTAGTTTTCTTGGGATGGCATGTGTTTCTTGGTGTTCCGTAGACCCTGGATGATGAGCCAGTGCCCACAGGGAAGGAGTATCAATGGCAGAACCGCCCTGTCTCCGAGTGGACCAATCAGCAAGTCTGTCACTGGTTGATGGGCATGAACATGGACCAATACACGCCTGAGTTCACTGCCAAGGGTGTGGATGGCCATCAGCTCATGCAGCTGGACAGTGACAAGTTGAAGGTGAGAGGAATCATGTGTTGAATACACACAGACTCCAGAAGAGTGAACAGTTAGTCAGAATGAAGAAAATGTAAAGGTAGACTCAGCGATATGACATAGATGCAGAAAGTAAAAAGCATAGTGGGTCAATTTCTGCAACAACTAAGAGCGTTGAAGCGCGAGGCTTCACTTCTCCAGTGTTTTGGTGCCCCGGCGACCACGCTGTGAACAGTGTGAGAACCCTTGCACATGCGCAGATACTGTGTGAGAGCGAAGTCTTGCATCTCGCTCATCTCAATATCTGCGGTGCTGCTCCTGACAATGTCATTTCGCTTTAAATACAGATTCAATTATTTTCCACAGCAGTCAGGTTTCTAAGGCCTTGACTGCCACCTAATGGCCAAACATAAACTGGGTGAATTCCACAATGATGTATACTAACATGATACATAAGGAAAATTACACATAATAAACAAGATGAAATTGTCAGACGTTTATATGCATTTCAGAAAGTAGTGTTCTAGAATGTGACCAGTGATGTTTGTCCCCTCAGGCCCTGGGTGTGTCCAGCCAGAGTGACCGGGCCACCATCAAGAAGAAGCTAAAGGACATGAGGAAGGCCCAGGAGAAGCTAGAGAAACAGAGGGAGAAAAGGGAAAAGGAGGCACGACGCAGCGGGAGACTGCCTCCCAACACTGACTCTGTCTGCTGAGCTGCCCCAGAGGTGACCCACTCTCTGTCGTAACATAACCCAATGTCCCTTGAGTGAGGCAGGACATTCAACGACCCCTGTATCTGTTCTGTTTCACATATAGGCCTACGTAAGTGCCATCCACTTCACAGTTCACAGCAGTTACTAAGAGAGCACAAGCACAGTCACACACAGTACTGAGTCTATAATGGCCAGTAATGATAATGCTAGCATACCAGTGTTGATTTAATGTTCCAATTGGAAGACTGATCTGAAAATAGCCCTGTTTGTCTTGTTGACTATTGATACTTTGTCATTGGGTTATTCACAAGAACACACGAGCTGGCTCTGCTTTTTAATCAAATCAAACACACTGACAGTCCTGTTTCCAGCAGTATCTGTATCACATCATCATTGTGGTAGATTAGGGAAATGGGAACTTGCGAAAGTGAGACTGTAATATTGTGTGGGGACATGACCAAGAACAAAAGCCAACATGTTTTTTTTACCACTATAAAGCTATAGAAGAAGTAGTTTTATCCATTTTGAGTTTCCAGATATGTAGTTGCAGCATTTGTGCACATTTACCCATACAACAAGTGGAATGAATTCAGTACTGCTTTTTAAGTGTTTTATATTGTATTTTTGCTAGCATAACTTTCCTGTAGCCATGTACATATATTTTCTTGCAGGAACTTTGTACAGTTATTGAGATAAAAGCACTATATTGTCTTTTAAGCTTCAAAGCGTGACAAGGTGTATAAATTCAGTTTTATTAACTGCATAACTTTTAAAAATAATTAAGGTTCATAATTTTATATATACTTTTTCTACTAAGTAGAATAGCTACTAGGATGAGAGAATTTTTGCTAAATGAAAGGCAAAATATATAAAGTAATGACAACAAACAATGCTGCTTATCCCCTCCCCAACTGTGCCTGTTTCGAGAATGGAGGATGTACTACTCTGTGGTCCTATTGAGCCGAAGAGTTTTACGTGTTGCTGAAATGGTACCAAGACATGCAATATTATTCTACACAGCATGCACGCCTTGCTGACAGGGTGTGGGGTCCATGGGAACATGAAGGGTGTGCGCCTGTGACAACAAATCCATGGAATGGTTGGCTGTGTCTGTTGGGTGCATGTTGAGCTTGTCCATACCCAAGCATTTTTTCAATGTACTTTTTTTATTATTGAAGAATGATTAGTTTATATTTTGGATGTAAAAACACTAGTTTAATTCCCTCCACTTGTTCTAATACAAAGAGCTAGATCCTATTATTCTATTCTTGGTACATATTGTAAAAGCAGCATAAAATAAACCAATTCTCACACCAGATTCTGTTGTGGGTGTATTTTGTGGTTTACTGGGAGGTCTAATGGTTTATGCATTCAAGAGATGGCAGACTGCAAAGTTCAACTAATGGACACTTTAAATGTCAACAACACTTTTGATGACAGAAAAACATAATACATACACTATATATACAAAAGTATGTGGACACCCTTTCAAATTAGTGGATTCGGCTATTTCAGCCATACCCGTTGCTAACGAGTGTATAAAATTGAGCACACCGCCATGCAATCTCCATAGACAAACATTGGCAGTAGAATGGCCTTACTGAAGAGCTCAGTGACTTTCAACGTGGTGCCGTCATAGGATGCCACCTTTCCAACAAGTCAGTTCGTCAAATTTCTGCCCTGCTAGAGCTTCCCCGGTCAACTGTAAGTGCTGTTATTGTGAAGTGGAAACGCCTAGGAGCAACAACGTGGCGTGTAAAAACACAAACTACCGAGTTCCAAACTGCCTCTGGAAGCAACGTCAGCACAATAACTGTTCGTCGGGAGCTTCATGAAATGGGTTTCCATGGCCGAGCAGCCTCACACAAGCCTAAGATCACCATGCGAAATGCCAAGAGTCGGCTGGAGTGGTATAAAGCTCACCGCCATTGGACTCTGGAGCATTGGAAACGCGTTCCCTGGAGTGATGAATCACGCTTCACCATCTGGCGAATCTGGGTTTGGCGGATGCCAGGAAAACTCTTTACCTGCCCCAATGTATAGTGCCAACTGTAAAGTTTGGTGGAGGAGGAATAATGGTCTGGGGCTGTTTTTCATGGCCTAAGCCCCTTAGTTCCAGTGAAGGGAAATCTTAACTCTACTGCATACAATGACATTCTAGACGATTCTGTGCTTCCATCTTTGTGGCAACATTTTGGGGAAGGCCCTTTCCTGTTTCAGCATGACAATGCCCCGTACACGAAGTGAGGTCCATACAGAAATGGTTTGTTAATGTCTGTGTGGAAGAACTTGACTGGCCTGCACAGAGCCCTGACCTCAACCCCATCAAACACCTTTGGGATGAATTGGAACGCCGACTGCGAGCCAGGCCTAATCGCCCAACATCAGTGCCGACCTCACTAATACTTTTGTGGCTGAATGGAAGCAAGTGCCCGCACCAATGTTCCAACATTTAGTGGAAAGCCTTCCCAGAAGAGCGGAGGCTGTTATAGCAGCAAAGGGGGGACCAACTACATATTAATGCCCATGATTTTTGGAATGAGATGTTTGACGAGCAGGTGTCCACATACTTTTGGTCATGTAGTGTATCTCTTGAAAGTCAATGAAACCGCATTGCAATTCAAAAGTATCTCAATGTTTAGAACAACTTCTATATCTGTAGTGGTTGCCTCTTCTGTCATGTATAGCTACTATATGCCAGGGATCATCAACTAGATTCAGCCGCGGGCCGATTTCTTTTCTGGAGCGGATGGTCAGGGGGCCGGAACATAATTACAAATAATTTGTAGACTGCAAATTGACAGCAAGAAGCCCAAACAGAAATGTTTGACTAAAACATAATCATTTCAAACCTTGCTTACATTTGAATATGATAATGTGTCTCTCTATTATGCGTGGGAATACTTGAACATAGTTCTTAAATTAAAATCACTTGGAGCTGATTTCCTGGTGTTTTTAGTCTTTTATGTCCAACAATGAAAATTCCACACAAAATAAAACCACCAATGGGACAAATGTGGCCCACGGACCGCCAGTTGGGGAACCCTGATATATGCCATTTAGCAGACGCTTTTATCCAAAGCAACTTAGTCATGCGTGCATACATTTTATGTATGGGGGTCCCAGGAATCGAACCCACTATCCTGGAATTGCAAGCTTCATACTCTACCAACAGCTACAGAGGACTACATAGCTGGAGGACAAAGAAAATCTGTACTCCCATCTATACTGTCTATAAAATAACATTCCTTCAACGATAGCAGAGGACAAAGAAAAATACCTTGTAGCTGCACAACTTTGTAACAGAAACATATTCAGCCAGTGGAGAACACACATTCAGTATAAATAACAAGCAATGGTCACACAAAAATTTTCCTTTCAGAAAAATGCTAGAAACCAAGCAATCCTTTCACTTAATACACATGGAATAAACATGGCATAAACCCCTTCATACAGGGGTTAGAGCAAAATAAATACCATGACTGAAACAAGTCGATCTCAGATCGATTGCCTGGGGCCAACTTAACCTCCCTTTCATTTAAGAAAGTCATGACCATCATGCTTTTAGGGAAAGAGGATCATTTGGTAGGATCACTTGGTCCTCCTCAGGATAATTTTTATGTAGGACTGAGAAGCTCGGTTCTGGTGACTTTTTAAAAGGCAATTCTACTCTTAAATAAAATTATGCTGACGCCATCTAAAATATAATTTCCACCTCCAGAAATGGGCCCAATAACATTTTGGTAAACAAATGTAAACTTATTTTAACATTTTGGACCATGCATATAGCCCCACCAAACTTAACTCTCGACCTGGCAGCCAGTTCCACTGCATTTTTTCATTGTTCCCCTCTAATCAGGGACTGATTTAGACCTGGGACACCAGGTGTGTGAAATTAATTATCAGGTAGAACAGCAAACTAACAGGCTCCAGACCTGTTCTATATTATCAGATGTGCTATTAGCAGTAAGCATTATCACCTGTAGCCCAACTGATGAAGCATAGTGGCTATAAAATGTACATAGGCTGAAGTATGTGGTTTGTCCATCTGCATTTACCCATTGGACACAACATCCTGATTGTTATCAATTATTATTTTATTATAAATATAATGATTATTCAAAACTATTTATTCTATTACAAAGTATGTCATTGCCCTTTTAAGACGAAATTGCCCCTTTAAGAGCTCTGTTGCTCTTAAAGATGACATTGCCCCTTGAAGAGCCAATTTATGCTTGATCTGAAAATGTAGTCGGAGGCGCCATATGGATGGATGGTGTGACGCAAGCCTCTGGAGGCACGCAGAGGCCAAATTGAGCTCTGTACCGCATCGCCGTACGCCTCTCAAATTTTGTAACAATGCTCCATATAGCTCCGCATTGACATGATTGGTTGACGGTAGGTGAGGGCGGGAGATCCTGTATAAACACAAACTCACTTCCTTCACAACAGCTCTGCGCTGCTTCGCGAATCACCAGAAGTATGAATGCCCTGACTTCTGCAGAGTATCACCGTAAATCAAATCGTATTGGTTACATACACATATTTAGCAGATGTTATTGCGGGTGTATGGAAATGCTTGTGTTCCTAGCTCCAACCCAGCAAACATATGGTCGGCGGGCCAGTAGTGGTCCACCGGTGGCAAAGTTAGAGGCCCACCGGTGGGCACCGCCTGCGGTTCGCCAGCGTTTTGCGCATCGTTTTTCCAGCGGACCACCAGCGGCAGCCGCCACTTTACCAACAGAGGTCCGCTACTGGGCCGCTGGTTCATAATAAGTATTTGTTGGCGGTCCACGGTCGGTCCAGCGTTCATATTATCAGTATCTTTCCATACAGTAATGAATCCAAAATAATGTACACCACCCTCAATAATCATTGCAAATTCATTGTAAAACACTACAATATAAAAATATCTACATTGAATACATGGTAACGATGAATATGCATTTTATAATTTAAAAAAATAAGTATTATACAATTAGTAATAATAATAAATAAAT